TTTGATTTGATGAATATGTCATCAATGTACACTTCCATAGAATGGCTGATTTGGTTAGCGAATATCTTGTTTACCAAGCAATAGTAAGCCACCCCTACGTTCTTGGGGACAAACAACATAACCCTATAACAATAAATTTCACAGTTAGTAATAAATGAAGTATGTTATTCATCGGGCTGGTACATCGGGATTTGGTTATATCCCGAGTACGCGTCCATAAAACTAAGTAGTGCTTTTTTCGCTATTGCATCTATTAGCTAGTCAATCTATGGTAGTGGAAAGTTGTCTTTCGGGCAGGCTTTATTCAGATCCATAAAGTTGAAGCAAGTCTGACACTTTCCATTCAGCTTCTTGACTAGGACTGGGTTGGCGAGCCAGTCCAGGTACTTGACTTCCCTGATGAAGTTGATTTCCAAGAGTTTGTCGACTTCATCCCTGAGCGCTTGAGAGCGCTCTGCATCCATGGCCCTTCTTTTCTGTCTTATTGGTCGAGCCTGTGAATCGAGGTTCAACCTGTGGCACATCACCTCGAGGCTAATCCTAACCATATTCGCGTGCACCCATGCAAATATGTCGAGGTTCTTCTTTAGGAACCTGATCAGACTATCGACCATTTCTCTGGTCAAGCTATTACCGAACTTCTGCACGCTATTTGGATCCTCCTCGCTAACACTATTTCTAGCAGCTCTTCGGTTGGTCCCACCGCAGGCTCTTCTTTGCGAATATGAGGATATATAGTGTCCTCTAACAGTCTGGGATTCGGCTTGGATCCCGCAATGATCATTGTTTTTTGGTGCAACCATTTTTGTGCAGCGTTTATAGTCCGATTGTATCATTTTCGAGATTCCTTGGTACAGCTCCTAATCGTCGCGACTCCCCCAGAAGTCAGAAATCTCATCACTTGGTAGCGCACCTATGTGACTACACTTAAATCATCCAGGATTGGCCTTCCAAGGATGACATTATACATGGTCGAACAATCCACCACCAGGAATTTGGCCATCACAGTTCTGACCTTCGGCTCTGCCCCTAGAGTGATATGAAGGTCGATAATACCCCCAGGAACCAGGTTGTCCTTGGTGAACCTATAGAGCGGTGAAGGGCATGCTCGCAAGTTCCTTTCTATTAATCCCATTCCTCGGAAGGCTCCCAAGAAAATGATGTTTGCCGCGCTTCCGTTGTCGACCATAACCCTTAACACCCTTGCATTGCCAATCCTGACCGCCATTACAATTGCATCATGATTATGATGAGGGGATGTTTCACGCTTGCTGACTATGAACCCTACTACCTCGCTTTCCTATTGGGGTCGCTTGGGCGGCTTTTGTTCACAATTCATTATTCAGGGAACCGAGTTTGTTCTAGCCTCCTAAGCATATTGCTCGGGAGCTCGTCTCGAGCTTTGCGTTATATCCAATCCTCCGTAGATCATATTCACGAAGACCTCATTGGGGTTTGGCAGAGTCTGTTGAGCCGGGGTTAGTACTGGACTTAGGACCTGGCTACTTTGCTCGTTAGGATTCTCTCGAGCTGGTTCTGCCTTAACGAATTCTTTCAAATGATCTCTTCTTATCAGGTCCTCGATGGCATCCTTAAGAGCTCAACAGTCATTCGTGTTGTGCCCGACATCCCTATGGTACCGACAATATTTCTGTCGATCTTTTCTGCCCAGTGCCTCCCTCATCCTTTTTGGAGCGGACAACCTCTTTGCCTCTCAGGATACTTCATAGATATGGGTGATGTCTTAAGTGAGGGGTGTGTACTCTGCATACCACGGGAAAGGTTGTTTGTCTCTGTGGTTATCTACTTTCTATTTCTTTCGAAATTTGTTGTGATCCCTGTCGCTGCGTTCTTGGCCCCCACGCTTATTTGAGGGGTGATCCTGTCTTCTGTCTCCTCCCCCCAGTCGAGCTTCTGGCTAGTGCGACTAACGAGCTCTCTACTCGCTGGTATTTTGCAGTCGTTTAATAGAATTTGGCCAAGCTCACATGATCTTCACTCTGGAGCTCTTTCCATAACTCCGTGTTAGGTCTGATCCCTGTGGTCAACAAAGTCCGAATAGATTCTTCAGGGGCATCAGAGACCTTGCCTGCTCGTTCTAGAACCTCGTTAAATACGAGGTCAGTGATTCATCCCACTCTTGGCGAATATTGCCCAAGTAGCTGAGCGACATTGTGAGCTATCTCCTCGCCTATAATTGTTGTAGGAACAATGCGGAGAATTGTTGCTAGGAGTTGATGGAGTTCGCCTTATGCCGCTTGTACCACCTCTTGGCATCTCCAACTAATGTGACTATGAAGCACCGACATTTCGCTAAATCATTGACCTGGTGTAGCTCCATTAAGTTATTAAAGTTATCGAGGTGATCCTTGGAGTCCCATCTCCCGTTGAACTTGCTCTCTAGCGCCTTGAAGCCTTGTGGGAGTGGGGCTTGGCAAACTTCCTCCATAAAGGGGGAACTTACTATTTCCTTCGGCAGATTGTTCTGGCGAGCTTTTAGATCGCTGAGCATCTTTTACGTGCGATCTAAGTCTTCAATTTGGTTGCCTTGGTTGGCTTTGTTAAGTTGTACCTCAAGCAAATGAGTTCGCAAGTCTGTTGCTTGTAAAGCTCCTCCGACGCGCGTGTTGATGCACGAGGTCAGTCATGATGGCTGGTTTGATAGGTGTTATCATGCTCGTCAGTGAGTTGCTCGCAACGTCGGTCATAATCAGAACGCCAGTCATTGCCAGATTGTCGCACATGGCTCGCTTTGCTAGCATGTGAAGATCAATCTTGTCTTAGGCGTGGGTTAAAACCGGCACGCTGACGTTGAGGATACCGCCAAGGTTCTCGGTTGTGTCTGTCGCCTTCACTTTCCCTCAGCGGTTGCTTCCCTGGTCGCCTCTCGAGGTTTGTTTGCCCACGGGATTCACGCTCGTGCATGGAGTGCTGCCTGTGAGGTTGGAGGTGTTGATCGGCCCTTGGCGGCGACGAAGCGGGCTGTCCACCTGCAAAATTCATACCTGTTGGGGTGGCATTGGCCAAGCGTGGCTGGTCAAGGTTCTAGGCAATTGGTTGTTGGTTTCTCAGCTCAACCACGTTTTGTTGCACTACCTGTGCAACCATTGTCTTGATCATCTCCATTAGCTGGCTGTTCTCAGGATTTGACATCCTTGCCCCCTGGTTCTTTGCAGTGTCTGAGCTGACCGCACAGGTGGTCGACGTCCAGTATTCTCCTGTTGCACCTCCTGATGGGTGGTTTCCACGTTCTTGTGATTTTCGATGGTAGTTCTTGATCAGTGAACATCATTTTGGTCTTAGGATAAGTAAATTGCACGTTTGCCGGAATCTTCAAAATATTGGTGGAGGCCCTCCTTCTAGTGCCAAAACGTTGATACATAAATCTGCACCAACCAGCGAGATCCGATCGATCGTGCCGGGATCGGAACTGATGTGTGCGTGATTAAGAATAATTAGCAATATATGTAAAAAAAAAAAAAATGCCATAAAGTAAAGACAATGAGAGTTTTAAAGTGGTTCGACGAGGTTAACTCTGAAGCCTACGTCCATTGTTTTTGTATTTGCCGTGAGAGCTTATAATATAGTTCCTATGTGAAATTCGTAACCCCTTCCTCATCATTTGAGGGGGTTTATATACAAGATTTGTACAAAGAAAAGAGTGAAATTAAGGGGATTACAATTGATCTGAATCGCAATTCTAATATTCTCGCGATTGGATGTTGTGCTTGCGTAGTGATCGCCGTTGATCTAGTCATTCCCGTAATATCTGGGATTTGAAATAATTTGGAGGTTGATTGAATTATTCTTTGAACTGTCTGCGACTAGCTTATGCTAGGTTGAGCTTTGGCTCGACGAGCTTATACTAGGTTAATCAATCATTGTTCTGGGTCAAGCTATATCCTCGCGTTGGCGGAAAAGCCACACACAACAAATACAATTCTAGCCGTCAAATCTCCACACGTAGCACGAATTAAAGCAACGACATTCTCCATTTTGAATGAATATGAGATATATGATTCTAGAAAAATTACATAATAAAAAGGTAAAAAATATAACTAAAACCATGTTCGTCTGACCTAAATCTAGTTAATGTGAAATTTCCACACTAATTGGGAACACAAAAGTTAGTATGAAATTTTCCCACTAATTGGTAAAGCACCTTGGGTTAGTCCAAAATTTTCTCTAATCTAGGCGAAAATTTAGCACTAACGGGTAAACACATACTAGCTCATATGCCAATGTATGATCTAGTTAGTTTGCACTAACTGGGAAATTTCGCACTAATTGACTTTTCTCTCTGTTTTCCCACTTCAATTTACCACATGCACCCCATTTGCACAATTTTCACAACACAATAAATTAACATCAAAAAAACACTTTATATGTACATAAATCCAACAAAACCTTAAATCATACCATCACATCTATTAAAAAATTACACCAAGTAACTTAAAAAAAAAAAATTGTGAAACATAAAAATTTATACAAATCGACGATCTTACTTGAATATAGTGTTTACGTGTTTCAAATGGGAGTTGTTGAACTAATTTTGAGTAATTTGTATGGATTGGACCAGAGAGAAATTTGTATGAAAAGGTTTAAATAGTTTAAGCAGTCAAAGCCCTTGGGGCCTGGGGGTAAGGGAATGTGGAGAATTATTTTGGATGGTTTGGACTCAAAGGTATCCCGAGACAAAGGGAGTTCCGTGGGTTCAGTTTGCTTAGAGGCAGAAAGCCTAGAAGAGGCCGTATATAAGTTTTCAAAAAGTAGTTTTTTTTTTATAGCCCCTCAACTTTTGATGATTTATTAATAACCCAAAAAAGAATTCTGAAATAAAATATAGAGCTGGATTAATTAACTGTGATGTTTCAACTTTCAACAAACAACATATACTCGACATTTTCTAGAACTTTCATGGTACCGTCAGATTTAAGTACCAAACTCCATCCAACGGTCCCAATCAAACTACAACAACTCTTGCATCGCTTTACCCCTCCCTCAAGCTCTTCGAACTCTCATTCACACCCACTTCACCAATTTTGCCACACCCTTATCTCTCCCTTTCTGCTGCGCTTCTCAATGGCCACTGTCATCAAAACGCCGCCGTTCCATCCGCCTCCGACACGTGTACTCTCCACGTCCTTAAAATCCACAAAACCGTTTTGCCTCTCCTTCAGACAACATAGAAGCATCAGCACCAGAGTCTTTTCTCGGACAGCTTCTCTCCGGTTCGCTGCTATTCCCTCTCTACGGTTTGTAAAGCTCGTCCCTTTAGCTTCAAGTGGAGAAACCGAAACCACCGAGACTGAAAAGGAGATTCAAGAACCTCAAGTCGAGGTATTGTTTTTAATATTTATTTTTATCTGCTTTTTTAGAATTTGAAAATAGAACCTTATCTGTAGGGCATTGTAAATTATTTGTGATTTTTGTTTAGGGTATTTGCAAGATGATGGGAGGCTGTAAGAGATAAGGTTGAGATAATTTGGGGAGTAGATGAATTGAAGAGGGTATTGGTTTTGGAAAAAATTCCTTATCGGATAACATGAAGTAAGAGATTAGTGAGTAAGAATGGGTCGATAATCTATAGATTTAAAGGCAGTAGTCAAGTTAGTATGCAACTTTTATTAAGGCTACTTAACTAAAGCTTCAAGTTATAATTGCAAAAGTTGGTATCTTATGTTCTGAAACCCGAAGGAGAGTGGCCGTGCATTGAAGATATTTTAAATAAGAGAGGTAATCCAATTGGCTGAAATGGCAATATTTAGTAAAACATTTGACGAGAAGCATTTGGAAGTATAAATTGATTGGGATGGGGTTTAGGCTCGGTCATGGCCATTCTTTGTGAAAAATTGGCAGTTAGGCATTTTTGGTGAAGATATGGTGGCCAGCTTGTGCAACTTCTAGAGTTGGAGATATAGCAACTCTTAAGGTTGGATGAAGTTACGATTATTCTTTATCATAAATGTTTTGGATGCAGTATAATTACTTTGTTTTTCTTGTGGTTGATTTTTCTCAATAAGCCAAATTTGAAATAATATGTTGCAGGAGGTGGTCCTTGCTATGAAAATGATGTAGGCTACAATTTGAGTGGATAACTGATTGGGCCATATGAAACTCAAAATGAAGCTGAAATTTTCAAATCTAGAACTTTTTGCGAAGTTTAGTAAATTTTAGCAAAAAACATAAATGCAGAAAATGTCATTAATAGCACAATTTGTGGAGATTAAAACTTAAACCCTAGGACTAAGGGAGAAAAAATATCAATTATGATCAATTTAAGTAAATTCTTCCATCTAGGGTTTGTTATGGCAATTACATGTAATTTGGTTCTAATTTTTTGGAAAGTTAATTTACTTGAACCCACAATCCATAATATACTAACCACCAGCTCATAAATAGATGTACCGAGCGTTGCCTAAGTCTAGTCTCAGATTGTAATTGAAAATAAATCATGAACTCTCAAAATCAAATTAATAGCCCAAAGTCTTCTGGTTAAAGTTCCTTTAACATTTTTTTTCTATAACCTTCCTTCAAGGATTCTAATTTCCCTTATTTTTGAAGCAAACTTGAAATCTATATTTAAAATGTAATTAGAACCATTCTTGAACTTCAAACTTCCTCGCACCTTGGACTTGAAATTAAAAATTTTACTAAACAAGTGTTCAAGAACCATTTTATCAACTAAGTTTTTTCAGTGGTGTAACATAATTGGTTAGTGGGAAAAATCCTTGCTGAGATTCAAAAATATTTGGTTAAGTGCTTTTTCCTTAATGATAAAAGTGGAAAGAAACGAAGTTGAAGGATATTCTCCTTTGCTATTGTTGGAATCATTCTAGGTTTATGATGCTGATAATTACAATTTTCTTTTCCGCCTGACTTGGGGATATTGCAAATTATAAGCATATAAAGCCCATCCTAGTAGAAAACTCACCTAACTTAGCCTAATACTAGTTTAAAATTTTGTTAAAAACCTGTCTATAGTAATATTAATGGGTTTGGGGGTTGTATGTTACTTTAAACATGGCCATAAATTGGCTAAGTTTGGTGAATTTATATAATGATATGTTATTGAATTGGTCTTCCGTTTGTAACGAAGTGCAAATCATTCTATCCAACAAAAATAAAGGGTGCCGAATACACATACAAATCATAGTATATATTATTTTCACAATAGTTTTTTGTGACATGCAGTGTATGACTATGACATACTAAATTGCATTACTTTGGGTGGGTTTTTAGTATCAACTCTATATATATGGACCACAGTTAAATGATTGATTATCAACTAGAGAGGTTTATCAATTTTTACTTAATACCATTCTGGGACTGGAATTTTCATATAATGGATTCTGAATACAATGTGCATCTTTCTATCCACGGGAAAAAAAAGTGCTCAATAAACTACAGCTAACTCTAGTATACTCACGATTATCTTTCTTGTGATATGCATGGATGACTATTATGTACTAGATTGCAAGTTTCTATTGTATCAACTTTAGTATTCTAGACCGGATTAAATGATTGACTGTCAAACTAAGATTATTTATCAATTTTTACCTTATGCCATCGTTGGGACTGAATTCTATATTATTTTAACTGATATTACTTTTATAGATTTTACTGCATATGTGAGTTTTTTATTATTTTAATTTTTTTTTTTTTTTAACTTTATATAGGTTTTTCGCATTTGGTCAAAATATTAAAATTGAAACATAAACCGTAAAGCAATTTTTGGAGACCCTATACTGTCATGAAGATACAAGTTAATTGTTGTACCCTACTGAGGTACTTGGATTTTTGCATCGTTTTAGTATTCACGGATTTTATGACATCACCATATAGTCTGGGAAGTGCATATTTGCATTTTACTATTAAACATAAACCAGAGAATTTTTCTATGCGTGAGCACAGGTTTAATCTGAGGGATTGGTTAAGAAGCTTGAGGAATTATCCACTTCCAGTAGAAGTTGAACATGTATTTTTTCGATGGAAGAAAGAGTATACTGAAATGATTAGAAAAAAATGCATTTTTATATCTCACTACCCTTTTGTGATGTGAAGAGGAATCTTCCATGGAACATAGATGGGCAACAATTTATTTCACTGAAGGCAGGACCTGTGACGAGAAAGAAAAAAAAAATGGATAAGTAGAATAGGATAAGAGAATGCCCTATTGTGTGTTCATTTTAAATCTTAAGCACATTTCTAGTAAATCAAATGGAGTCGCTTGGGTAAAAAAGCAGTTTACTGGTTGAAATCATGTTTTGTTACCAACTGGCTTACTGAGTGACTATGAATTATGTATTTAAGATCTGGATGACATTTATTATATAGTACTTAGTTTTACAATACAAGTTTAGCATTTTAGTGATGTTTTATTTTCTGAAAATAGCAAATAATCATCATAGTAGATTAGATGCATAACATACACTAGGGCCAGAATTGCTTTGTTTTAGCAATTGGTGGTTTTTATTTATTTATTTATTTATTTTTGGTGTGGTGTGGTGTGTTGGGGGAGGGCAAGTTGGGGGTTCTGGAGACAACATATGTTGGGATGTTTTTAAGTTGATTTCCGTTGTGCATTGTGTTGATACTGCTAGATGCCCTTAATCGCTAAATATGTGGCATAAATGCAACTTGGAATCGTTGGAAGATCATCTTGTGCTAGGTGTCAACTATTCTGTTTTGTAATGCTTAGATTGGCTAATTCATTTTAAGATGGTTGATGTGGCTCCAATTTTAAATAATTATTTATGCCCTTATCGAAATTTTTCTCTGTTATTTTTTTTAACTTTAATTTGAGACAATTTATATATTTTATTGTAAAATTTCTTTTGCAAGCTTCGTGCTACTAATAGATTTATGTAACAGGATTCTTCAGATGGTGCTGTTGGTGTTGAAGATGCTGCTGGCGATGATGACACTACTGTTGCAGAGGAAACACATACTTCAGTCATTGTTGAGTTGCTCCAATCGTACAAAGAAGCATTGGCCAATGATGATGACTCTAAAGTTGCTGAGATAGAAGATTACTTAAAAACCATTGATGGTGAGAAAGTCAATCTTGAGAGCAAAGTGGCTCAGTTGTCCGAAGAATTGTTGGTAGAGAAGGATCGTACTCTTAGGATAAGTGCAGACTTCGACAATTTTCGGAAGAGGACAGAGAGGGAACGCTCTTCACTTGTATCAAATGCTCAAGGGGAAGTTGTTGAAAGATTGTTACAAGTTTTGGATAATTTTGAGAGGGCTAAAACCCAAATTAAAGTGGAAACAGAGGGAGAGGAAAAGATAAACAACAGCTATCAGAGCATATACAAGCAGTTGGTAGAAATTCTTGGCTCACTTGGTGTTGTTCCTGTGGAGACAGTTGGAAAGCCCTTTGATCCATTGGTGAGTCACCTTTCTCTATTTATTTTATTTAAGCAAGATAAACTTGCTTCCTTGCACAAACAGGAAATAAAATTGCTTTGTGCTATCTCATTTAGTACTTTCTTTGGTTTCTTTCTAAGAGAAAAAGAAAATAAAATAGATTTAGACCCAGAACGCTACTCTTCTCGTTTCTCCCCTTTGATGGGAAGTCTTCTCTTTACTTCCTATTCATTAGCATTAATTGTAGAAGAAGCAGATAAGATAACATTATCATGTGGTTTTGGTTTAGCAAAGAATAGCACATGCCCAAATCTCCCCAAGATTGACTAATAATTATTGGACACTCCCGATTTTGAATATCTCTGAGTCATATGCTTCATACTGATGAACTTAATTCGTCTTGTTGATCAATGATCCTGATGTGAAAAATGTAGCCCTATCCTTTTAGTAATTTGTCGTAAAATGATGGTCCAATTTCATACCTGGCTTAATGCAGGTGAATTACCGAGTTGGCTCAAAATTCAGTCGAGTACTTGATGAAATTTTTCGTAAGCTTAATCAAGTACGTTCAGGTTTTGTGAAGACCTGGATACGCTTTTAACCCAACCCAAGTCTTGATTGATTTGAGTCAACTCGGTGAGTTTACTGAAGTAATGATGTAAATTAACTGAAGTTTGGTCTGTGCTTGTAGACGTGAATATACCTAAAATGAAATGTTGAAAGTGGTAGTCAGGTTATAACTCAGTAAATCTTAATGAAAGCTTCCTTGTTTTTCATATATTGCCTTGAGTTGGTGATAACTGAAGTGCCTACTAATTTGTCTCTTATTTTTAGGTATTCAAAAGATGTAAACAATTTTTTGACAATTGTCATTTTCTTTGTTAAAGCTGCACGAAGCAATTATGCGTGAGGATTCCTCAGAATTTGAAGAAGGTGTCATTATTGAAGAATTTCGCAAGGGTTTCAAACTTGGTGACAGGCTTTTACGTCCATCAATGGTGAAGGTATCGGCGGGTCCAGGGCCTGCAAAACCGGAAGAAGAACCATCTGAAGGAGGGGAAGATTCAGGTGAAATCGCAGAAAACAACACAGCAGAAGTTGAAGCGGAGTCATCTTAAAGGAGAAATACACAAACCTAGAGTTCAGTTTTGTAAAAGCAGCCGCATTATAATGTTTTGAGTTAAGCTTGTAGCTTACATTTCTTTGGGGGGTTTCATAAGATTCTTACTTCTATGCTTTCGGTTCATAGAAAAATCCCAATTGGCTTGAGAATATAGGCATTTATTGAAAGATATTTTTGTTCATCACTGTGTTTATTTGCAATTGTACTTAAGTTTTCTCCTAACTTAAGCAAATATGTTTCAACTTCACTTGTTAATGGAAGACCCTAGTTTGGAGGGAATACTTGATTCACATTTCAGGAAAATTCGTATGAGAAATTGGTAGAAACTTGAGTAACCCTTTTTTTGATAATTTTTTTTTTTAAGAATTATTGTCATTTTCCCTCCATAGGTTTTATTTTCACCATTGTTTTATCACATTTTTATAGAGATTATTACATGAAAAAAATAATGGAATCAGGAATCATATTAATTATTTGTAATGTTTTGGAATTTACTAAAAAGGAGAAATTTAAACTTTTATGATAAGTTTATTAAAAGCTAATCTTATTTGTTATCTTTAACTTTAATTAGCATTTATGCCAAAGCTAATCTATAAGGATTAGATTAGGATTGTTGTATAAGTTTAATTAGCATTACTCAATTTTGGGGATAATCAGTTTGAGTATGTGTTTGGTAAAATATATTTTCTATGTCGCTTGTTTTGGCTACAAAAAGCAGCGAAAGATTCGTCTGCCTCATGGAGCCAAATGAAGAGTCAGAATTTGGTGATTCAACCAAAGAGTAATGCTACGGACATCGAAATTTTATACCGAATTTTGGTATCGAAGGACATGACAACCAGTCAGTAGTGATCACGCTGGAGTCTAGAGCAATAGATATATCCGAAAAACAACTAGATCTGTCATGCTCTGGCCATTTTCGGCTAGATTTCTGGTCGAAAATGGCCATATCGACACACAGAGGCCATTTTCAACCTTCCATGCACCATTAGTTTGCCAGCTGTCGACAGTGGTTGTCGGCGGCCGGCAATGGTTGGATTGGTGGATAGAGATGGATGTGGACCAGGTTGGGGCCCCATTCCTCGTCCCCGTCCCCGATATCCACTCTCATGATTGTCCTTGGCCAGTCCTTGTTGGCGGGGACAACTCTCATGACCGTCCCCCGCCTGTAGGGATGAAATCACTCACATCCCCATCCTGGCCTGATGAACAGGGCTTCGTGGGAAAATTCTTCCGGCGGGGATTTTTCCCTCAAACATAATTAAATATATCTACATCTAATTTTAACATAATTTATTAGGTAAATTGATTAATTATTCAATTGTATGAAGGTTTAGGCTTAGTTGGCCCTGTTAATTAATTAATTTTTCACAAGATTAATATAACTAAATTCAACCTTAACATAATTTACTAGGTAAATTGATGAATTAATTCATTAAACACTATCTCCACTACAACTAATAAAATTAGTCCATTTGTGATAGAGACAAATCCCATTATCCCAAGTTCTCAACATTGATTAAGTTTAACATCATATTTAATTGACCAATTAATTAATTACAAAGATAATTGAATTTGTGTAATTTGTAAGTCATTAAGCAATTGTAGATATTTTTATATTGGTTTGGTAAATTATAATAATCTAATTAAATTTATTTTTGGGCCATGTATTATTATTTTGTAAAATTCACAAAGTAATAATATATATATATTTAATTATTAGACTCCCTCGTTTAAATTATTTTTTCTATAAATTTAATACAAACAGTAGAAAGTATTATAAAATTAAATATTATAAATTTAGATCCATTACTTAAAACTATGATTTAAACTCTAACTTTTCCCTCGTTTAAATTATTTTTTCTATAAATTTAATACAAACAGTAGAAAGTATTATAAAATTAAATATTATAAATTTAGATCCATTACTTAAAACTATGATTTAAACTCTAACTTTATATACAATCTTTGCAAAGGAAAAAAAAACATAAAATTTTCAATAAAAGAAGGCGGGGCTCCACGGGGGCGGGGTTGACGGGTCGGGGCGCTGATTGCACAATCCCCTTCCTCGACCCTATCCCCGATATTTTCGGGGATTCCCTGCCCCATTCAAACCGAGTCAGGTCGGATCCCTGCAGGGCTGGGGCAAACACTCATCCCTATTAGTGAGGTGCATTATTGATTTTCCAAACTTTTATTATGAGGTTGTTTTTGCTAAGTTTTTAAATATAGGGGGGTTATAAATAATCTAAATAATAATATATTACTAATATTTGATTAGGAGACAATTCAATAATTTAAATAGCATACCCACCAATCTATTTTTCGAACCAAACATATTAATATAACATATCCATTAATTTATTCCAACCAACCAAATACATTTCCTTAAATATTCTTAATAATCTTCAAAGTAATATTTCTTTCTATTAATATAATATTTCCAATAATACAACATTCCCTAAATTAAATGCACCTGGATTTAAAAATTAGATTTTTTTCGAAATGCCGACATTGATTCATACATCAAGTTTTAAAAAAGAAGGAAAAGAGGGACAGAGAAAGAGGAAAGGTTTTTCAATCATAAATCAGACAATGAGGTAGACACTTAGCAAGAAACAAATGAAGAATACTATTAGATGGCATAATATAATTTAAATGAAAACCTTAAAGTCAGTCTCTGCCATCCACAGGTTGCAGCCAAATGGAGCATCCATCTTATAATAAACGAAGGGCGGCTGCTTTCTAATTGAAGCCAATTTTGCGGGTCCTTCTTTGGCCGACATAGAATCATCCCGAAAAAAACTAGAAGGAATGATATACCATTATACATCAATAATGCTACGGACATCGATTTTTTACACCAAATTTTTATAACAAAGAACGTGGCATCCAGTTAGACGCATCCACGTTAGAGACAAAACACGTCTTTCGTGAATGAATGACCATCCAACAATTATGGACGTCCATCCATATTTAAGGACGACCATTCATCATGAATGGATGATCGTCCACTAATTTCGTATGAAAATAACAATAGACTCCCGTCCATATTTTATGGACGAGAGTCTATTTTCTATGGATGGGTGTCCACCTCAAATGGATGCCCGTCCATAAATTTTTAAAAATATAATAATGAACGTCTGTCCATATGATATGAACTGGTGTCCATAGGCAAATAAAATTTTTTATTTGCCTCATACAGATACCGAGGTATTGATTATTTTAAATATTTTAGTTTTGCTTCTCATTTAGATGACAAACATATTCTTACGTTGGTAAATAGTATATTGATTTATTTTGATTTTGCAAGGCAGAAATGACTTTCGTGTAAAACAAAAGCATCATTTGACTTCTAAAGTCTAAAGCTTTGTATTTTCCCGTATCAGAGATCAATAAAAACTCAAACATTTTTTAGTATGTTATTATTATTATTATTGAAAATGGACACCCGTTCATATAATATAGACGGGCGTCTAGCCTTGTTCTTTTATAGTTTAAATTATGGATGGACGTCCATTTGAGGTGAATGCTCATCCATAGGAAATTGACTCCCATCCATTTAATATGGATGAGAGTCTATTGTTATTTCGTTATAAGAATTCATTCAAATTGGTGGACAATAGTCCATTTCTAATGCACGAACATTTATAAAATATGGACGAACATCTATAATTATTAGACAGTTGTTCATTCACAAAAAACTAATATTGTCTCCAACGTGGTTGCATCTAACTGGATGTCACGTACATCGGTACAAAACTTCGGTGAAATTATTGATGCTGTAGCATTATTAATTATACATTGCTTTTGATAATTGATACGAATATTTGACATGGCGGCAACCAGGAGATGATTTTTACACATATCTTCAAGTTCAATAGCCAATGGGTTCAGGCGTGAAGTCAAAGCAAATCCCAAAATCACAATTGCGCAAATCAACAACAGACTGCAGAAGTCTTTCAATTTGATACGAACATCCACGACTTGTATAATGCAAAACCATCAAAAAATGGTGTAAGCCAGCAGTCTGAGAGGATAGATTCCATACCTGCAAAATTCAAGGCGATTTTCAAGCCAAATAACTGTAAACTATATATTTAATGTCTTAAGTGTATATTTAATAATCTAATCAGCTTAATTTTTTTTATCATTCACAAGAAATTATTATCGTTAATGGAGAACCCAGAAACATATTTTCTTTACGCTGATCCAGAAACAACCCAGACATAGAATAAGAAACACAACAATGCACGCATTGGCCAAAAACTGAAGAGGAGGAGCCGGATACTCCACGCGAATCAAAACCCGGCGAGAATACAGTAAATCAAACAACCCCTTGATACCTAATGGGCATGCAATTATGTATCCAAGTTGTTGTTTTGGAGCACCAAAATGCCAGCCTTTAAAATACACAGAAATTTCAAAAACCAACAAAACCACAGAGGGCCAAGGGAACAAATTTATGCAGGAATAAAACCTGCTCTTCAAAGCTCGGTTCTCGTTCTCTCTGCCCCTCTCAGTGTCGGCGTCGGTGCGGCCGGAGGCGACACGGTGGCGAGTGACGGAACCGAGAAAGAAGAATGTAGAGGCAGTGGAGGTTAAACAATCGGCGGCCTTGTGGGCTTTTAAAAGAAGGAACCCAAGTGAGTTGCTTGTCGTTTTTGTTACGGGATTTGTTCTTGCCATTTGAGATTAAGCAATCATCTTCAGATGGGGCTTCAAGTTCCATCATTGACCAGTTTGGATTCTCCATCTTGACCACGACAGGAGTGCCTCTATTAGACTCTTTCTTCCACCAAGCCATTGCTAGGGGTGAGCGGTTCCGGGTACCCTGCACTTTTTCGGGGAATCGGAACCAGAATCGCATAGTACAGGTTCCCAAAAAAAGGAACCGAAACCGGAACCGCACAGTACAGGTTCTTCAATTCAAGGAACCGGAACCTAAAATACAGGTTCCGGTTCCTTTCCAGGGTACCCTGTAAAAAATCAATTACCCCCCTATTAGTTTAAAAAATAACAAAAACACCTTATAAGTTTACAAATACACCCCTAACAGATTTTCGTTATTCATTCATTTGTGTCCAATGTAACTCATAACCTGTAATCTCTAAGCAACGCTTGAATTCAACCAATTCATCACAATTCACATAAAATTCGTCAATCAAAACCAAAACAAAAACAATTATTTATCACAATTCACATAAAATAACTTCACTAAAATCATTTAAACAAACAACAATTCTTAATACTAATTACTAACATTGCCATTTGCCAGGGGTCTATTTGA